AGTTGCAATGCAATTCCTTTACCGATGCCACGACTGGCACCAGTTACTACGCAAACTTTACCCAACAATGGACGTGACATTATCTTGATCCCGAGTACGCGAATATCACAGTGGTAAATACGCTTATCTGAATGTAACCGTACCAGGTTTGCTCTGCTACGCAAGCTCCTTACCGCCAGGGTTCCATGCTTTAACCACAGTAACTGTGCTTCAACTCAGCGTCTGGGTCAAAGGTTGTTTATTTATCACAAACTGACTTGGCTAGGGGGTCTACTCAAACTATTGTCAGTGTACTATATAAGGGGATTGACCATCAATTCTTTGGGTACTAGTAACATGGAAGTGATTTGCGCAAAGACATTTGAAGGTGGTATAGAGGAAAGCTAATGTAAAGTAAATATCAGTTTTATACAATGGTATACTGTTTTCTGCAGGGTTAGGGCTACCTAGTTTGATTATATTAAGTACCATTTTCTAAACATACTCGTTGTTATTACCTGAGAAAATCACGTTTATTGAACTTGAGTAACTTAATTATTGTCATTCTGGTCACATGGGCCTGACAATCTATTCGTGTGGTTGGTTGGTTGGTTGGTTGGTTACTGAAAACAATACATGGACGTCTATGTCCCTGTACAGGACCGTATTCTTGCTCAAAGTAATAAGAAATCATAGAATTAAAACAGTTTTTATGCAAGCATATATTACAAAATTGAATTATTCGTGTTCCGAAACCCCTAAAATCACACATACTTGCTTCTGGCCGATCCGAGTCAGCCTGCACTAACTAATCACAGGGGAGGAAACAAACCCTACACATTTTTTTTTAGATGTCAAGTTACGAGTGCTGATATGGGAAATTATAGAATGAGGGGAGGCAAAGGGGGATAGCTGGTACGGTTTTACGGGAAATAAAAAGGGCTTTTCACAATTTACGAAGAAAAAAAAGACGTTTTTACAGTTTACAGTGTTAACAAATGGAACATTGAATGGTCCGAAGAGCTCTCCGACTCAAATTCTCCACCATTGCTGCGCCGTGTGAAGAGACGCATGCGCATATTACCCTCGTAATGCTCTTCATTCGGTTAGAGGGCCTTTTACGTCTTGACATTCAATTTTGTAGTGAATTGTATCATCTAGTCGTTTTACAGTTTCTAAAATGTAATTTCCCTGGATTATTCTTTACGATTGTTTTATTTGGATGTGAATTTTTGTACGTACGAGAAAAATGACACATTTTTACAGTGTACGAAAAAAAGATTTGATTGATTACGTTGTATTACGTTGCATGTGATTACAGAATTACGGAATTTATTTTTTCTATTTACGTTGTACGAACAAAAAAATATTGCAATTACGTTGAACAAAAATAACCCTTGCCCCTCCTCTAGAATTGAAACAGTTTGATAATGTAAATCACAAAATCTAATCATCCGCGCTATGAATAGAAATGGTTATTTTGTCATAAATGCGTGGAAATTTGGGAAAAAATATGAAAATATATATTTTTCCGATAGCCCAGTATCTTATCAGCACTCATATCTGGGTTGGTCAAGATATATCGCTCCGCCCAGAAACGTCCATGTAGAGTCAATAAATCATTGAGTACACTACTAGTACACCTTAACTGTAAGTCGCCCTCTATTGACGAAGTGTTTAAATGTAGTAAATGGCTACAAGAGCCCAACTAGTATTGTGTCAACACAGGTGGCGCTATTCAGCACAGACGGTAGGTTTGCGGCGATCTGCGTGTCAATGGCCCAACTAGACCATTTTCCCGGAAGTGGCGAAACTGGGTGCAAAAATACCCCTGCTCCGAGATGGCGGTAAATACAAACATGTCAGTTTTCTGATGGTCGATAGAAGAGAGTTTTATTTTTGACGTCGATTGGTACACCCAGAAGCACAATATCAGGCGTAAGTTTACCTTGCATCCTGAAACGCTATGCGCGCATGATGCGAAACGCCGTATTTTCGATTTCCGGGAAAGTCGTCTATTTGAACACGGTAACCGTGATTTGAACGACATTTTTTCAGCATAGACGTCTAGCTTATTCACTAGCGGGCGCGATGTTGTATGATGTATTACCATATAAGTTTAAGCACGACAAATATTACAATACTATGCTAAGCCATCAAAACCCGTCAGAGAGAGAGACCCAAATGAATCGGTCACGAAGGCTTGGTTTTGAATATATTTACTAGCACAATCTGAACGGTCCTGAGGAAATATACGGGCAACGATTCAAAGGGATCACTGAGTAAGATTTCGGGGGTACAATTAAAAAATGGTATATGTGGTGAGAACCCCAAATCATAATATTATCAAGTTACACTAATTTAGAACTATATATCAACTAAACAATTGTTGGATAGTACCCTATGTTTTCTGTTACCTCCTTTGCATTTACCCCCGTACTTCGCCATTTATTTCACGTATCTTATGTGTTCATTTTCAAGATCGCATAACTTTATGATTACACCTATGACGTGTTTCAGTGAAATTAGCTTACAAGTAAAAGACAAGATATATTCGGAAACGTGAATAAAAATATATTTATTAGTAGGATATTAGTGACAACTAATGAATTAGTGGTTTGAAATGGTGAACTGCCACATCTACAGTTGGTGCTTGATAAACTTTTCCAATGTGTGCAGCTATGCAAAAACAATAGTACAATAAGTTTTTAATATACATGGCGTCAAACGTGTAGGCGATACTGGCAACTTGAGTTCAACAAAATAAGTTTGTGAAATCTGATTGGGGTTGGTGGTTAAGCAATCATTGTACATTCTAGCACGAGTCAAACAGCAAAACATATAATTTATTCGTGTGAGGGGGAGGGGAAAAATGAACCTGTTCCCATGGGAGACGATGACAATCTACACTCAGAAGGAGACAGCCGAGGAATATCAGATTATTTATTTCCTATTCATAAGCAGTTTTTGTACGTACTTTGTGATCGTATCGTTTAATGTTTGTCTGAATAATTCACAATTTCGTAAAGTGTGATTGCATCTGGTTATTACGACTTTTAAAGGTTCCGTACATAAGAAATTTTGAAAGTCGGCCGAATTTTGCTCACGGGATCAGATATAGAATCCTTAAATGATGAGTAAATGATTTCCCATTGCAACAGATAAGACCTATACTTAGAACAAAATTGGGTGGGTAGAAGAATCAGCTGGTAATTAATTTTTATATTAAGTTATTA